AAAGCACCCTTTGAAATTATGGACAGTCCTTAGGCACCCCACTCTAAAAATGGGGTGCCTCTAGACCAGCGGTTCTCAACCTGGGGGTCCGCGACCCCTTTTCGAACGACCATTTCCCAGGGGTCGCCTAAGAACCATCGGAAAACACATATTTCCGATGGTCTTAGGAACCGAGACACCGCTGCTGTCTCCGGCGATGAGGTCATACGCTGCTCCTGTCACCTGGCCACACCTCCGGGATCGCTCAGCAGCTCCGCCTCAATTGGCCACCGGAACTGTATCAGGAGAGGCACACAGGCGGCCAATTCACCGGCGAGGAGGTGGAGCTTGGAGAGGAGGGGGAGCCGAGCGGCAGGGCGCGTACATCAAAGAAGACCGAGGGAGCTGCCGGAGCGAGTTTGACAGGTAAGGTGAGAGAGCGAGCCCACTGGAGCAGAGGTCAGCAAGTAAGTATCATTGGTGTCAGTGGGAGGAAAATTTTGTGTCACTAATACCAACGATGGGGCACTATTCCCTCCCCCCACTGACACCAACGATGGGGCAACTATTCCTCCCCCCACAGGGACAACCAACGATGGGGCACTATTCCACTGACACCAACGATGGGGTTTTTCCTACTGACAAACGATGGGCACTATTCCTCCTCCCCCCACTGACACCAACGATGTGGCACTATCTGACACCAACGATGGGGCACTATTCCTCCCCCCACTGACACAACGATGGGGCACTATTCCCCTCCCCACAGACACCAACGATGGGGCAGTATTCCTCCCCCCACTGACACCAACGATGGGGCACTATTCCTCCCCCCACTGACACCCAACGAGCTATTCCTCCCCCCACTGACACCAACTATGGGGCACTATTACTGACACCAACGATGGGGGCACTATTTCCCCCCCCCCCCCCCCCTGACCCCAATGATGGGGCACTATTCCACTTCTCCCCTCCACCACACTACATTCAATGCACTATTCCTCCCACTGACACCAATGATGGGGCACTATTCCTCCCCCCACTGACATATGGGACACTTTTCCCCCCCCCCCCCTGACCCCAATGATGGGGCACTATTCTCCACACTGACATCAATGATGGGGCACTATTCCTCCCACTGACACCAATGATTGGGGCACTATTCCTCCCACTGACACCAATGATGTGGCACTATTCCTCCCCACTGACACCAGTGATGGGGCATACTGAGTGATGGCTAATTCCTGACCCACTGACACCAATGTACCCCCCACTGACACCAATGGAGAGGGGCACTACTCCCCCCACTGCACCAACTATTCTGACACTGGCACTAGTGACACCATGATGGGAGCACTACTCCTCCCACTGACACCAAGTAATGGGGGCAACCAGCACTATTCCCCTCCACTGACACCAATGATGGGGCACTACTCCCCCCACTGACACCAATGATGGGGCACTACTCCTCCACTGACACCAATGATGGGGCACTATATTCCTCCCACTGACACCAATGATGGGGCACTACTCCTCCCAATGACACCAATGATGGGGCACTATTCTCCCACTACCAATGATGTGGCACTATTCCTCCCACTGACACCAGTGATGGAGCACTACTCCTCCCACTGACACCAGTGATGGGGCACTACTCCCCACACTGGCCAGTGATGGGGCACTACTCCCCCCACTGACACCAACTGATGGGGCACTATTCCTCCCACTGACACTATGGGGGACTACTCCTCCCACTGCGATGGGGCACTTTCCTCCCACTGACACCAATGATGGGGCACTATTCCTCCCTCCTGACTATGAGTGGGCACTATTCCTCCCACTGACACCAATGATGGGGCACTATTCCTCCCACTGACACCAACGATGGGGCACTATTCCTCCCACTGACACCAATGATGGGGCACTATTCCTCCACTGACCCAACGATGGGGCACTATTCCTCCCACTGACACCAACGATGGGGCACTATTCCTCCCACTGACACCAACGATGGGCACTATGAATTTCCTCCACTGACACCAACGTGATGGGGCACTATTCCATCCCACTGACACCAATGATGGGGCACTATTCCTCCCCTGACACCCAGTGATGGGGCACTATTCATTGATGATGGGGCACTATTCCTCCCACTGACACCCCTGATGGGGCACTATGCATCCTCCCACTCTGATGGGGCACTATTCCTCCCCCCACTGACACCAATGATGGGGCAGTATTCCCCCACTGCAACACCAACGATGGGGCACTATTGCCTATGACACCAACGATGGGGCACTATTCCTCCCCCCACTGACACCAACGATGGGGCACTATTCCTCCCCCCACTGACACCAACGATGGGGCACTATTCCTCCCCCCACTGACACCAATGATGGGGCACTATTCCTCCCACTGACACCAACGATGGGGCACTATTCCTCCCCCCACTGACACCAACGATGGGGCACTATTTCCCCCCCCCACTGACACCAATGATGGGGCACTATTCTCCCCTCCACCACACTGACACAATGATGGGGCACTATTCCTCCACTGACACCAATGATGGGGCACTATTCCTCCCCCCACTGTGATACACTATCCCCCCCCTGACCCCAATGATGGGGCACTATTCTCCCCTCCACCACACTGACATCAATGATGGGGCACTATTTTCCCACTGACACCAATGATGGGGCACTATTCCTCCCACTGAACCAATGATCTGGCACTATTTCCCACTGGACACCATGATGGGGCACTACTCCTCCCACTGACACCAGTGATGGGGCACTACTCCCCCCACTGACACCAGTGATGGGGCACTATTCCTCCCACTGACACCAATGATGGGGCACTACTCCCCCCACTGACACAATGATGGGGCACTACTCCCCCCACTGACACCAATGATGGGGCACTATTCCTCCCACTGACACCAATGATGTGGCACTATTCCTCCCACTGACACCAGTGATGGAGCACTACTCCTCCCACTGACACCAGTAATGGGGCACTACTCCCCCCACTGACACCAGTGATGGAGCACTACTCCCCCCACTGACACCAATGATGGGGCACTACTCCCCCACTGACACCAATGATGGGGCACTACTCCTCCCACTGACACCAATGATGGGGCACTATTTCCCACTGACACCATGATGGAGCACTACTCCTCCCACTGTACCAGTGATGGGGCACTACTCCCCCCCACTGACACCAGTGATGGAGCACTACTCCCCCCACTGACACCAATGATGGGGCAACTCCCCCCACTGACACCAATGATGGGGCACTACTCCCACTGACACCAATGATGGGGCACTATTCCTCCCACTGACACCAATGATGGGGCACTATTCCTCCCACTGACTCCCAACGATGGGGCACTATTCCTCCCACTGACACCAACGATGGGGGCACTATTCCTCCACTGACACCAACGATGGGGCACTATTCCTCCCACTGACACCAACGATGGGGCACTATTCCTCCCACTGACACCAACGATGGGGCACTATTCCTCCCACTGATACCAACGATGGGGCACTATTCCTCCCACTGATACCAACGATGGGGCACTATGCATCCCACTGACATCAGTGATGGGGCACTATTCCTCCCACTGACACCAGTGATGGGGCACTATTCCTCCCACTGACACCAGTGATGGGGCACTATTCATCCCACTGACATCAGTGATGGGGCACTATTCCTCCCACTGATACCAACGATGGGGCACTATTCCTCCCACTGATACCAATGATGGGGCACTATTCATCCCATTGACATCAGTGATGGGGCACTATTCCTCCCACTGATACCAACGATGGGGCACTATTCCTCCCACTGATACCAACAATGGGGCACTATTCATCCCACTGACATCAGTGATGGGGCACTACTCCTTCCACTGACACCAATGACATGGCACTACTCCTCCCACTGCAAAATTACAGTTATGAAGTAGCAATGAAAATAATTTTATGGTTGGGGGTCCCCACAACATGAGGAACTGTATTAAGGGGTCACGGCATTAGAAAGGTTGAGAACCACTGCTCTAGACTGTCCATAATTTTAAAAGGGCGCCCCATTCTAAAATGAGAAAAACTATTCTAATAGTTTTTATATAACGCAGCAAAATCCACACACGTAGGACACCCAACTGATTTATTCTTCCGAATCAAATACACTTTTGCACACTGTACTGACTAGTATTCCAAAGTTTTTCTCCATCACTGAGCTAATGGTCCCCACACTGATGGAGAGGGGCAGAGGAGGGTCAAACTAGGATGCTGTGCAGGCAACCAACATCCTCCTTATCAACTGATGATGCCATTGGTTGTCAGGATGCCGGCATCTAGAAGGTCCTAATGGTGCACAATGAAAACCTGTGGCTTTGTGTAACTAAAAGGCAAGCTTGTTCCATCTGCTGGCTTGTATACAATTTGGGCAATTTTTAAATATTTTGCCAAGGCACCCCTGAAGAATTCTTAAGGCGCCCCAGGGTGCCTGGGCACCCTGTTTGAGAAAGGCTATACTAAACAATCTTTGGAGTCTCACAAACAAAATATCCCTGTATTTTGTATAATATGCTGAAACATAATTTTTTTTTATATATAAAAAAATGCAGCGCTCTTAGAAAATGATGAAAAGTATTAGTGAAACACAGTCCAATAAAAAAGCGTGATTCCCAGTGCAAATGGTAAAAATTCACACTAACCAGAAAGCGCATAAGTAATACGCACATGTATATATATATCTGAAGACTCCCCTCTCCTCTCAGGTCTGGTCAAAGAAATAGCTGGGAAAGATGGAAATCCTACGCCCTCATGTGGTGAAAGAATGGTCCAGCAGGTCAGAGAAGTATCAATCTGGATAAGCCTCCCCCTTCACAGGAGCTGCAACAGGGATCACTTAGGGCTGTAAGGATGAAGTGCTCGTAATCCCACAATGTGACCGCACAGGATGGCCGGTCCTCCTCACCTCTGAGGTTCTCTCATTCTGATAGGCCGTCTTTTGGACACAGCGGATCACCGATCCACGGAAAGAGCCAAAGATGTCAGCTCGGTCATGTGATTAGCTGTGTCCAATCACAGCTGATCACATGTAAACAGGGAAGTGCCGGTTATCGGCATTTCTCTCCTCTCGAGCTGTCACGCTGACAGAGGAGAGGAGAGACGGTAATCGGCTTTTCCGCGGAGGGGACATGTACACTGATCATCAGGGCACTGATGATCAGTGTGCCCTGATGATCAGTGTGGCCCCAGAAGTGCCACCTGTCAGTGCTGAACATTGCCACGTGCCAGTGCCCATCATTGCCACATCAATGCCAGATATCAGTGCCTACCAGTGCACATCAATGCCACATATCAGTGCCCATCTGAGCTGCCCTTCAGTGTCACCCATTAATGCCAGTCAGTGCCACCTATCATGCCAATCAGTGCCACCTATCAGTGCTGCCAATCAGTGCTGCCTATCAGTGCCAGTCAGTGCCGCCTATCAGTGCCAGTCAGTGCCGCCTATCAGTGCTGCCTTTCAGTGCCCATCAGTGATGCCTGTCAATGCCAATGCCCATCAGTGCCACCTATACCAGTGCCTCCTCATCAGTGCCCATCAGTGATGCCTGTCAATGCCCATCAGTGCCACCTATAAAGTGTTCATCAGTGCATCTTATCAGTGCCCACCTAGCGCACATCAGTGAAGGAGAAAAATCATTTATTTACAAAATTTTATCACAAAAACTAAGAAAAAAAATTTTTTTTTCAACATTTTCAGTGGTTTTTGGTTTGTTTAAGAAAAAATAAAAAACCCTTGAGGTGATTAAATACCACCAAAATAAAGCTCTTTCTGTCACGAAAAAAGTATAAAAATTTCATATGGGTACAGTGTTGCATGACCGCGCAATTGTCATTCAAAGTGTGACAGCGCTGAGAGCTGGAAATTGGCCTGGACAGGAAGGGGGTATAAGTGCCCTGTAGGTAAGCGGTTAAATCTTCATAGGTGCCTAAAAGTTTATGAATATTTAAGACTGAATGTTCATATTGTTGCATGAACCAGTCCTGACTGATTTTCTTGAAGCTTCTCACTCTGATATCCACAACCAATTGCCGGCTACTGAAGGATACTAATTATAAGAAAATGGCAGTTGATGAGAATTCACATTTAATAATAAACATTAATTTGAAAAAAACACTGTGGTCATTTAAAATGCAAGCTCCATGATTCTGAGTTGAGATGAGTGATGAGTGTGAAAACATGGCCAGTTCCTTTCATATTTCTCTTTGTCCTTAGGTTCACAGTGGAGGTAGCACACCGATGTCAGACATGACAGTGCAGTCTGCCTTCAGTGACACACACCACCAAGCATATCCGCTTACCTTTGACGCCATCTTCATTTTTGGTTGAAGTCGTAGCAAAAGATGCAGTAGAAGTTTCAGTCATATGGCGGACTGTATGGACCCTGGGTGTTGTGTATTTCTGCTCCGCTGAAGAGATTGTCCTTGCATTGTCCCCAGATCTCCCGCTCTCCAAAGCATTATCTTTTTTCTCTGAATCCGGAGATGTTTTGCAAACTGTGTCTGTCATGGGGCTTCCTTCCCTTAAAGTCTTTTGTTGAAAGTCTGCACAGCTGGAAAAAAAAAAACAGTCACTGAGGGATTGTCATTGTGCAATGACATGGCAGTTTGCTGGGCCAATCCATTAATTTTAGGAAGTAGTGTTTTTCCTTTTATTTCTGCTTTTTTCTATCATCAAAGAGAAACTATTATAGTCTTTGATGTCTGTTTAAAAATTATTCATTTTTTTTTTAAGTTTATACATTTTTAAACTGTTTTATATCGGTTCTGCTACACACACACACACACACACACACACACACACACACAAAATCTGATTTTTTTTTTTTTTTTAAACTAATAAATGACAAAGGATACCCAGAGCACTGAAGGTTAGCTAATGCATTGAGATAGGCTTTGTCTAAAGAAAACCTTTTGTAGAATATAAGATAAGGCTTTAATGACTCATTCAGGACTATATGTAAATCACAGCTTTAATTGATCTCTCGAAATGGGCTTTTTTAATCAACAGAAGATACATTCTTAGGCAAACTGAAGCCAAGATCTCAATCCCCTGGTTTAAAAAATAATTTGCAATATTTTAAATGTTACCTGGGAAAAAAAAAAGGAAAATGCTGAGAAAAGTTTAGTCCTAACCATAATAAGCAATCAAAGAAAACATGTACAATAAAACTGTAGATTTCCTGTAAATTAATTAAATGTATATATTGATAATCAGTACACATGATCATTTTTTTGGTACCTAGAAGCAAGAATCTAACTTAAAAAAAGAATTCCAGTTATGGATTTTTATATAGCTACATTAGCCCAGCTTGGACCAATGTCCAAGCATATGCCTTACCTGTGGGATCCCTCTAGATGCTGGAAATCACTGTAGTAGGCACCACTACTACAGTGATCTCTACTAATTTCTGTGTCCCGTGATGAGCGGCGGCACTGCTGCATTGTAAACACAGGAGGTTCTTTCTCTGGCACAGGTGCCATACAGAAATCAATTTGCATTTTCTCACTGAATACATAGTTACACAGTTAGTCTGGCTGAAAAAAGACAAAAGTCCCTCCAGTTCAACCATTAAAAAAAAAAAAAAAAAAAAAAAAAAAAAGTTATAATCCTATACCCACAGTTGATCCAGAGGAAGGCAAAAAAAACCCAGCAAGGCACGATCCAATTTGCTCCTGCAGGGAAAAAAAAAGAATTCTCAGATTGGATGATGTGGAGAGCGTGACATCATTGCCCCACCTCTCCACTTCGTCCAATCATAGAACGCTTTGCATTCATTCCTGTGCTGCTGAGGGGGGGGTGACCTCCTGGGGGCAGCCGCTTGGTATGGGACCCTGGAGCAAGTGAAGATTACTGGGGTAGTAGCAGGGGTGGACTAACAACTCATGGGGCCCCCGGGCAATACGGGATCATGGGGCCCCTGTGTCCTTGCCCAAACTCAAAAAAGCCTATGAAAAAGGTACCAGAGGCATCTCATGGGGCCCCCTACTGACCCCGGGCCCTCGGGCAGTGCCCGAGTTTTAAAATGGACAGTCCACCCCTGGGTAGTAGTGATGTATACTTCAGTGATTTCCAGCTTCCAGTGGCATCAGCCAGGTACGATATATAGAGAGTTACATTGCCCAAGCTGGACCAATGTAACTGTATAAAATGTCATACCTGGAATTCTTCTTTAAAGATTTATGTTGAGAATGTACTTGCACTTGAAGTGAATGTGACCATATAGGACAATCACACATGTAGCAACTTGATAGTCTATAATGCATAAATAGTGTATAATTAAATGTTCCTTAAAAGGGGCGGACTGACCATTTGGAAACTCCTGCACTGCCCGAGGGCCCGGGGTCAGTAGGGGGCCCCATGAGATGCCCCTGGTACCTTTTTCAAAGGCTTTTTTAAGTTTGGGCAAGGACACAGGGGCCCCATGATCCCCTATTGCCCGGGGGCCCCATGAGTTGTCAGTCCGCCCCTGCTCCTTAAATACAAAGCAAAGGCCAGCGTTAAGTTTCCTTCTTGTACTGTCTGTCACAGCTTTAGGTGTCTGATGTGGACTTTCTATGACACGTACAAGCTGCGACTGCTTTCTTTTCACAGGAGATGACTTGTGGTATTCAGCATGTTATTTTCAGTTCTAGTGTGAAAGCTGCAGTGGGCAGTGAATCTGTGGTCAGCTTCTCTTTGTAACACTTTGTGGTCACGTTATTCTGTTTTAGTGCTGTGAAGCTAAACTGTAGAATGTGCTGTTTTCCTGGCTTTGCTCTGTAATTAATTTTTACACATACATCAGCTTGATGCAAATACTATTACCAATGTGTGTTATTTATTTATTTCAGGTACTTATATAGCGCCATCAATTTACACAGCACTTTACATATATATTGTACATTCACATCAGTCCCTAACCCTCAAGGGGCGTACTAATCTAAGGTCCCTAACTCACATTCATACATACACATACTAGGGACAATTTAGACAGGAGCCAATTAACCTACCGGCATGTCTTTGGAGTGTGGGAAGAAACCCACGCAGGCACAGGGAGAACATGCAAACTCCAGGCAGGTGGAGCCGTGGGTGGGATTTGAACCAGCGACCCCAGTACTGCCAGGCGGAAATGCTAACCATTTAGCCACTGTGCTACCCTGTGTTAATGTGTGTGTGTATGAGGATCACAGCTCTACTCGACCAGTCCTTACAGTCAAAAGGTAAGGAGCGGCCTCAGCCTACAAGTGTCTGCTAAGCCACACCCTCTAACGCAATTCTTCCTGCCCACCAGGAGCGAAATGTGTCAGTGGGTGTGGCTCAAAGTTCTGGGTGTGCTGCCTGACGAAGATGCCTGGATCCAAGAAATGGCTGAACAGAATTACAAACCTTTTGGCAGGTTAACTGTGTAACTCATGGGTGTCAAACTGGCGGCCCTCCAGCTGTTGTCAAACTACAAGCCCCATGAGACATTGCAAGATGGAAAGTTATGAGCATGACTCCCAAAGGCAGAGGCATGATGGGAATTGTAGTTTCACAACAGCTGGAGGGCCGTACACCCCTGTAAACTGATTGCTTGCCTGGAGTTTTGTTTTTTTTTTCTTTTGTTTGCTAATGCTGAGAGTTTCAAACATTTTTACTATTGAATTCTTCCTTTTGTGAATGTCAGCTCATATTTTATTTATTTTAATTTAATTTATTTCAGGTATGTCAATTTACATATATATATTGTACATTCACATCAGTCCCTAACCTCAAGGGGCGTATAATCTAAGGTCCCTAACTCACATTCATACATACACATACTAGGACCAATTTAGACAGGATCCAATTCACCTACCAGCATGTCTTTGGAGTGTGGGAGGAAACCCACACAGGCACAGGGAGAACATGTAAACTCCAGGCAGGTGGTGCCGTGGCTGGGATTCAAACTGTCAACCCTAGTACTGCCAGGCAGAAGTGCTAACCCAGTGGTTCTCAACCTGTGGGTCGCGACCCCTTTGAGGGTCGAACGACCCTTTCACAGGGGTCGCCTAAGACCATCGGAAAACACATATTTACAATGTGTAAAGAGCAGCTACTGTGTAGAAAGCAGCTGCTGTGTTGAAAGCAGCTACTCTCTTAAAAGCAGCTACTGTGTTGAGCAGCAGTATTGGAGGTAAAACGACACTTCATGAATTATAATTACTGGTAAATAATTTTATGGTTGGGGATCACCACAACATGAGGAACTGTATTAAAGGGTCACGGCATTAGGAAGGTTGAGAACCACTGTGCTAACCATTTAGCCAGAGTGCTGCTCACATTGGCAAACTGGATGAAGATTTTTAGATCCAGCTCTATTAAACTTAAAGATGATCCCTTGCATTGGGGCTGTGCTCACACGGCAAGGGTTAATTGCAAGTTTAGGTCTAGGGGACATAAAAAAAGAAGAAG